TATTCAGATCCCTCCACTTTTAGCCACAAGTCATTCAAGATCTATCTCCGGAAACAAGAGAAGGACAATCAAGTCAACACCGAAGTGTTAAACACTCGCCAGCACATAAAACCAGGTCAAACAGCTGTACCGAAAGTACAATTCTTCATCAAGGACAACCCTTTGGGAGGTGCTCACCTGTGTAAGAATTATGACGCCCATTTCACTTGAAACGTCCCAACATCCTCGACTGAGCATGGGTATGGACGCACTACTCATCTTCCGAACTACCTTAAATGAAGTCTTAATGCGAACTTGAGATAGAGGAACGACCTTAGGCATACAGTGCCTCCAGTCTCGATACCTGGAGGCTGCACAAAACTTCTTTATTCTTTATTACGGTTTACTGATGGCTAACAATAGTCTGTCGCAGATTACAGACATGAATCATACATTTCAAATCATTAAGATCGACTTCTGATTTCAAGAAACACGTAGAAACCGCCATACAAAGCAGAACAACATACAGTACACAGACAGATGGTTGCATCGTTTCTTTGAAGATAGGATTCACTGGTGAGCCACTCAATTCCATCCCATGATAATTTACTCTTTCCTCCTGACATCTTCAAAGCTCTTCAATCTCTTCCAATGATCCAATCTTTTATATCGTTGCAAGTACCACTGTATTATTCTACGACATGTTAGCAAAAACCCAGTGAAAATGGAGCAAACACACTTCTAAAAAAGAAAACAACCTATGGCAGAGTGAGTTTGCAAAAATGGCCTACTCAAGTAACCAGTAAAAGTAAAAAGGAATGCGTTGAATCTTGAATCGTTCATGAGATAGTTCAAGGTAACGACTCTACGAAAAAGCCAATTTGCGAGGATGACATATAACAGGAACGAAAAAGTTGACATTTTCGAGCACAGCTAAACACGCTTCTTCTTTGGATCATCAATGTGGTTTGCCTAAAAGAAAATTATTAGCTAATATTTAGATTATTGAGGAAAAATAATCTTCGATATACTCTGCACAATTCGAAAACACTAATCAAGTATTCAATCTCGAGTGAAAGTCTGACTACGTCGCGTGCAGTCGCGCAGCGACGTTCACAACTGCCGTGGCACACATGCAATTTGATTTTTAAATATAACCGCTCATGCCAGCTTACTAATCATTCAGCCTGCTCGAAGCAAACAAGCCAGCTTTTCTAGAGCATTTTCGTAGACAATCATTTATCAAATGCGTGGCATTGACATCATATACCTACCTTCCTAAGTCCTGACATCACTGAGTATTCGGAGTAGTTGAGCGGCAGAAACCCTGACTTCTGCGCTTCAGCGGGCAGAAGTTGTCAGTGTGAGCGTACTGCTTTGTCGCTCCACAGTGAGAACACGTGACTGCCCAGAGATGAGGACATCTGCAAAGGATTCCATATAGATGAGTTCGCCGACTATCGAAAAAAAAAAGAAATTCTTTCCGAAGTTCTACAAAAGTTACGTGATCAGTGGACTCCGTACTTCCACGGAAACACGCACTTGCACTGCGGGTTAACGACAATCGCCACAGACCATGGCATCGCATAGGGGGGACGGAACATTTGCCCGTTTCTGGATGGACGTGGCAAACTGCGCGGCGAAATTCATAGTGATTTAAACGAATCCTACCATTGGAAAACAAATTTGAAGCACGGTAGATTAGAAGCATCAGCTGCGCTACTTATCCAATCCACTAGTGCCAAATGATAGGCGCCAGAGTCGTTGAATCACCGGTTTGCCGCGCCCATCCAAAAATGGGTGAATGTACCCATACTCCATCGCGTATGCCTGCGAAAATTCGGGCAGAAGTGCCGAGTACCGTCAGGATTGAAGGACCTATTGACGCGATGAGGTTTCTATACCACTTATGCCTCTGGCATCTTTCACAGTCCACGATTTTGCGAGCGACCGGTCGCGGACCCATCTCGCGAGCGACTGGTCGCCGGTCGCTAGCGACTGGTCGCTCGATCGGTCGAGGAGGCCCCGCTAGTTATGGGTGCCGCCGAGGACGGTCCCGAGCAGATCGAGCGACCAGTCGCGGACTATGGAAGCAGCCTCATATGATTGAAAGCGAAATGAGCACTGGTGAATACGATTGTGCAGGACCCGACTGGTAGTACCCTGGCATCACCAATCGCTAGAACGAGCAAAAAATAGTTCTGTAGATAGACGTAGATGTACGAAAGTTAGGTCCTGCGGTAAGGATGAGCAAACACTCCATTGTAAGCTCCAGGCTAAATCTAGGCTCTCCGCTGACCCAACTTGAACTCGACTTATATCCCAAGCAAAATTTACGAGATTATATATAATAAGGATAAGAATTCCGACGACAAAGTAAACACTTTCTAAAGGTACAATGGCTATGTCCTCTATGACTATTACTGTGAACATTGGTATCGCCATCCCACATTTGTTACGGAATATGGCCGCTTTCAGACTTCGACGACCGTCCGTCCGTCCGGCCGTCCGACGCGTGCGTGCTGCGACGGCGACGCCTGACCGTTGTTGACAACACTAGATCACGTGCCAGCGCTGTCATCACTACACTAGCGACCGCCGTCGCAGCACGCACGCGTCGAACGGACGGACGAACGGTCGGATGAGTCGTTGAGGTCTGAAAGCAGCCTATCAGTTACAATCAGAGACGTAATGCCAGAGCGAAACAGTGCTATCATCAGAAAAGAACAAGATACTGCTATGGGCCATAAACTCATCTCGACGTCCTTTCGGACAGTATTGTCGGGGTTCTTCGCCAGAGTATAAAATATAGAAGTCCCTGGCAGTAATCGTGAGTACAACGGCCTAGTTTCAACAAAGAGACCGAAAAGTCTCGTTCCAATTTGGATTAAAAAAAAAAGGAACTCACGTCACCATTCCACGCTCTTTCATATTGTGCCCATGCCACATTCCACGATCGAAAGTAGCCGGAACTGGCTGACGAGAGTCAAGGCACATATGCACATATCTCTCATAGCAGAAACGACACATCTGATTGCGACGCCTCTGAAAAAAACAAATATATACGAAAATAACTCTAGTTTTGCCAATCAAAACCACACCCCCTAATATTAACCATGACCCAGACGCGTGCGATCGCGGTGCGGCGTGTTGGTTAAGTAGTCGGGGAGCCGTTACGCGACCGCACGTGGCTGTGGTCGACATGACTACATGGGCACATTTAATCACACTCTGAAACTCCACCATCTAACCGTTTGTAATACGCGACACCAATACTGAAAACGCCGAACCGCACGCGGAGGATTAGCCGAAGAATCGGTGGCAGCTGAATCGTCGTTGGTATTTGCCACAGGCGGTTCTGTCACAGTGAAGCTGCCGCATCCTGATGCCGGATTCAAATGATTCCCCTCGTTGTTGCTAAGCAATGGTGCCGGAGGAGAGGACGAGAGCTCAACGACCCCGACAATGTTTGTATTGCCATTGCTAAACACGGGAAGACTGTTGGACAACGCTGGTGGTAAAGGATCGCCAAGAGAATTCAGAAGCGGTGCAGCGAATGTTTTTGGGAAGCTGTCAGTAGAAGCCGATGAATCGCTGGAGATGGACGTGATTCCAATAGAATTCTCGTTCGGGACATCCGATGAACTAGACGTCGATGCTGGCGTCAGAGGCGGAGTATATGTAGCCAGGGAGGCGAACTCCTGAAAATGGACTAATTTCGTTATAATCTGAGAAGTTTAATGGACAAAAAATCGCCATTAGAATGAAATATAGAAGGATGGAGATGTTTGCTTGCTACCAGAAAGACAGGACAACCGCAACTCCATCCACCTGTCCATACTGGCTCGCTCTCGCAAAGAGTCCTCCAAAGAATGGCGGCTGTTGGGAATCAAGTCGCACCCCGGAACGGGACTGACCGGAGTCGAAATCTTTACTTTCTCCCTAGCATTGTAGCATGTCCCAGCATGTGAAACTCGCTACCAGGATCTGGTACCTATCGGTCCTCTAGCAGTCCCCGATTCACTCCGCATTGCAAAATTCTCATGTTTTCACGATGCTAAGTTATAGCAGATCACGAGATACATTGGGTGTGAAAGCTTCCAGACAACAATTTTTGAAAGATGGCTTCATCAATCCTGCCTCCTACAATATATCGGGAAGCAATTTAAGGTCATTCTAGGTCAGTCTAGCAATTTTTCAAAGACTTCTTTAAAAAGAATGAAAACTGACATCAACTAGCTCTCCAATACCGAAATCCGGTCTGCCGTTCGAAAAATCACCGAGGCGCATAAGCGTTGAAGCTGTGCTGAGCAGATCATTCTGGAAAAGATGCAGTTATAGTAGAAGATAAACACTTTTGTGCGATTCAAGAGTAGATCGTGGTTGATAGTGATAGTGAGGGATAGTGAAACCATGACTGCACACAAATAAGCCGAATAGAATGTAAGTGCAACACTTCTGCGTGTACCAGAATTCCTACTGTAATACGGCTATTCTTTCATAAAATACTACGCAACAAATACGCCTTATTCTACGACAATTCACGACCAGAATTAGAGTGTGTGTGCATTCGTGCGATTCGAGCCGCGCGCGGCAAATTGCGCGGCGAAGTTCGTGACGTTTCGAATGACTCCGGCGCCTATTATTGGGGCACAAAATTGAAATAGAATACTTAAGTAGAGTCAGTAGATACTACTAATCTACTTTACTTAAAATTAGGGCTCCAAAAATAGGCGCCAAAGTCGTCAAAATCGATATGAATTTCGCCGCGCGCAGTCCAAATCGCAGATTGCACCGTACCCCCTAGAAGTAGATTAAAGCATAGGAGGATAAGGATTGGGATCCGTGCCGAATCTTCCAAATTAGCAACCACTCAGCGGTAAAGGTAGATTCACACTGAATGCACACCCAGCACAACTACCACCTGCCGAAGCCCTTCCTATCATGTTTAACCCGTTCGTACCGACGGAAATTACAAGTAGAACAAGATATCACGTGACGAAACTGGTACAGACACAGCACAATATACCTTGACTTGTGAGTGCCATTTAGGTACTATTCCACTATTACAACCCCAAAAACTTAAAATTTTAATTTTCGATGAAACTTCGCCTATAAAGGTAATCCGATGCCCTGACAACGAATATGACCTTCACTTTTGGCGCTTG